AGCAACACTTTATGGACAGCAGAATACCCTGTTTAATCATAGCTGCAAAATCAGACCTGCATGAAGTTAAACAAGAATATAGTATCTCACCTACTGATTTCTGCAGGAAACACAAAATGCCTCCACCTCAAGCCTTCACTTGCAATACTGCTGATGCACCTAGTAAGGATATCTTTGTTAAACTGACAACAATGGCCATGTACCCGTAAGTACCTKCTCTGTCTTCATTTTCATGTTGCATGGTTCATAATAACATTGCATGCCATTATTAGCCATGAGGGGGGAATCTTTGTCATATAGAAGTTGTTCAGCAACAGAAAGAGACTTTGTAATGAGAAGGTACAAATTTGAGCAAATCCAAGTTTGGTTTGGGTACCATAGTAAAACAATACAAACAGTGCTTCTTACAATGTTTGTATATTTTTGAGTAGGCTATAGCTCTCTTAACAGGATAATTCAATAAAGCACAGCCTCCCACCCAGCATTAAAAAATAGTCTTAGTGCAATAAAATGGGGTTAACATCATGTTGCTTTATGCATTTCCATACACAAAGTTCATTTTTATATTTGTTGATTAATTGACCTTGAGTATGTGAAGGATTCTAAAATCTTTTGTCAATTTGTGTTGAACATGTGATTTCAGGATATTGTGTCTTCTTTAAGTGCTATTTTAAAAAGTATTTATAATTGGAATTTCCAGTATGTAAATGTTTTGCATTAAGTATTATGAGCCACAAATTTCATGTACATTTATTATATATCTATACATACATATATGTGCAAGCACGTAACTGGTTATATTCATAATTTACTAACTGCCTTAAAATTGCATGATTCTTAATGGCATTCTCCTCAAATAGTGTGTTTGTATAAATTCTGTTTTGTAACAAAATAGTTTTTCAGKCAGTGCGTTTCTCAGGTCTCTGTAGCTTATGCTATATTTTATTATATTAGTTTCTAATTATTTGCCTTCTTATGAAAACTACAGTGTAAAATAGAGTAATAATCAAACACTGCTACAACCTGAGGTTTTCCAGACAGGTGTTAATTTGTAAAGATTTTTAAAATCAGTTAATTTTCCTGGTATTCCATTAACACACACTTTAAAAAATGCAACAAACCTTTACATTTCTATTTTATTCGAAGACAACTTGTTCCTATTAATATAAGATAAGCAAAACTTTATTTATGTTTTACCGTTGCTTTAAAACTCTCATGTATGTTATCTACAGAGAGGATCATTACAGAGACAGACTCTCCCGAGACATGGGCAACACTGATAGAATAGAGAATTTGAGAAAAATCTGGGTCTTTCTAAAAACTGCTTTGTAAGTTACTTTTTCTTTATGACTTCTGTAGAATTTTGTTTACATTTTCTTATAGGGTGACCAAATCTCCTTTCTTGCTATAATTAACATTTAGTAATTATCTAGAAACGCACTGCTTGGTCAGATTTAACCTGTTTATTATGGTGTCGTCTTTACTATGTAAATGTACTTTTAAAAATCTTGTAAATAACTGCAACTGTGTTTTTAGATCTGCATCTTTAAAACAGTTTACTTTAATTCTTGTGTGTGTGTATATATGATAAATGTACATACATGGACACTTGTTTATATGGTTAATCCCAAACTACTTCTCATGAAGCATCTCCCTGTTGCTAAGCATACTTTGCATCTCTCCTTTTTGGTGGGTGGAGCCTTGTGTATGTTGAAGAATCAGATTCAATTTATAAAATAACAGATGGATTCCAGTATGACAGCTGGCAGTGACTTAGTAGCAGTGCTATGTTCATCATCACAAGTCAGGTTTTAAAAAGGAATGTCTTGAGCATTAATTTTCAAAATTAATTCTTGTTTTTCTCCATGTTGAGAATTAGGCATTATTGGGATGCTGCTAATCTCCACAACCATGCTACCGTGTGCTGTGGTCTCATCAGATCTTACAAGCTAAGCCAAGTCAGATTGGGCCAGTCCTTTGACTGAGAAGCCTCTAAAAATGATCAGGTGTTACAGGAAGTGATGGCATTGAATCATCAGGCGCTCTTCTGAATGGGTTCTGCGCCAGTGCCTCTTCACGGGTGGTGTGATGGTTTTGTATGTCTGAGTGGCTCCGATCACTGAACAGTCATTGGAGACCCCCTACTTTGGTAGATAGGGCCTAGGTGATATGGGTTGCCCCATGTGCCTGTACCAACTAGTGCAACTCCACTCAACCAGAAAGGAGTCAGAAAGCCTCCCTAAATTTCATATCTAATTTCAATTGGATCCATTGTTGATTTTTACATCCTTACTCAGAGTTTCATACTATCATACTTAGCTGCTGTGTTTTGGTAGCAGATGAAATCAACCCTATATTTTGTTGGAAATTTATGAAGCACTTTGATTTCCTTTGGGAGCCAAGGTGCTTGATGAATTAAAGACGATATTGTTCATATCTTCTCAGGGTTGAATATACTCATCTTTTGACTCTTTTATGTATTTGTCACTCTTCTCCTTCCTGGTTTTCAGGCATGTGTGTATGCTGAGGGAGGAGGAGGGAATGGTTATTTAAATGCTAGCAAACCTTGTACTTTTGATGGGTGCTATGGCTTATTCAATTTTTATTTTTATTAATTTAGATAAGGGTGCCATCTATTGCTGTGCATACTTATTCCACTAAAACTCATATAATAATTCCACCCCCCTCCAAAAAAGCTAAAGTGTTTAGAAAATGTTCCCTATACTTTCTATAGGGAGGGAGGAGGAAGCTATTACTGCTTATTCTGTTTTTTGGTACATGTGGAATTCTGCACAACTTTAGCATGGCCCACACTATCCTTTTTCTTTCTTCAAAGAGTGTTGCTTATGCCTAAATCTTTTTTTTTTTTTTTAAGTTGGCACACCCTGACTTGTGCCATATTTGTAAGTAAGAACTCAACCCTGTCCTTCTGTGTGTTTTCGCAGCCATGCCCGGTTACGCTGTATGTGCACCTGCAACAGGTGTACATTTTGCATCTGTCAGAACTTCCTCAACTCAGACTTGCTGCAATCTGTAAAGAACAAAATCTTCACTGCAGTTCTTAACAGGTTCTTAACTTTATTTACTGGGTACCAGGCATTCTGTTAAAATACAAAAAAAAAAAAGTGGATAACTATTTATTATACAGATATTCACTACATACGCAACAAACCAACTGACACCCAACTAACTTCCACTAAAATTCTCACTGTGACCACAATGTTCAGTTTTGGAAAAAACCATAATAATGTTTTTAAGTTAATAGGTGTATTTCAAGGATTTTTTTGTTAATTCCTTAGGAAAGTTAAAATACCTTTCATATTAGAAGATAATATGTGTAGGGAGATTAAAATCTTTTTGCTGTAAACCCTAGAAATAGATTAGGACTTTTGTAGTAATGAAAAGAGACATTCATCCCAAGTAAAAGATTATTTTGCTGTGCTCAGCTAATATTCACATAATGTATCTTAGCAAAACTATACCAATGTGAACAATATTTTGGTTTGAAAAAATTCTCTAGTCTTGAACCATTTATAATTATAACCTACCTTTACTTATTTTAAAAAAAGTACTTGGAATGCTTATTTGAAAAAAACATGATTTCTGGCAGTGAGAATAAGAACCAGCTTTAAGGACTCAAAAGTATGGAAAAGGGAAAAAAAGAGATGTGAAGTATTGTTTTTCAGGTCTTATTATTGAGCCAAAACATGAAATGTTCCTATAAAATAATATGCTTTTGAAAAGAAAAAGAGAAAAAAAGGATGTAAACATTCCCTTAAAGCAATGAACTTGAAAGGTTATATTCTTATTCTGATCATGCTGCCTTTGTTCAAATCAGTTTTATTTTTTCTGAGCATTTAAGAACCTATAAACTATATATGTATCTGGTTGTCAAATTTATATGTGACAGGATTAGGGTTTTGAAGTTACTTATATATGTCATTGAGAGCTGGGCTTGATTACGATGGATGATAAAGCTAAATACAGATTTTGATTAGAAATGGGCCAGTTTTTTTTTGTTCCATTATTGAACACTTGCTAAATAATAGACTCCAGCTGGACCAAATGATCATGGTTTATGTCCACCAGCAATATAATAGTGGTGTCTATGAAATGGTTACCTATTTCTTATGTGAGTCAGAAACTGGTTTTGAAGGCATTTTAAAAGCATTTCAGTGGTTTTTTGAGCACTAGCAGCTCTGGAATAAGAATGCAGCCATCTCAGGGACTGCTTTGAAGGGATTACCACATTGATTTGTAAAGTTCTGCCTCTGTTCTTTGAGTGACACCTTGTAAAGGAGTAACCCAGATAGAGTCCCTCATGATGACTAGCTGAGAAAATGCAAGGCTAGTTCAAACCAAACAACATTCAGGAGCTCCACTGTTGGGAATCCTAGTGTTGGAAGAGATTCTGGAATTCATCTGGCCTAACCTCCTGGTAGCAAGCCTTCCTGAGAGAGTACTGTTTATTTGCTTATGGCTTTTTTCTTTGGTGAGGGATTTTGCTTTTGCTTTTGCTTTTATTTTTTAAAACTAAAATGTTTTCCCTATAACTTTCTCTCCTTTAGTTTTAGTTCTGCCCTTTAGAACAACATACGACTATTCTACTCCCTCATCAACATAGCAATCCTTCAGATATTGAAGATGATCATCATGTCTCCCCTAATTTTCTCTTCTCCAGGTAGAACATCCCCATTTCTTTCAGTCTTTTTAAAAATTAGATGATCTAGTGACTTCATCATTCTTGGTTGGTCTCATCTGAAAGCCCCTTAAGTTCTCAGAGTACTTCTTAAGTGGTGCCACCAAGGATGGAAAGATAACAGTGCTCCAGATGTGGTCTGACTAGTCCAGAACAGTGGGCAGTCATGTTCCACACTTAAGACGACACCTGTCCAGTGCATGAATTAACTTTTTAGTAGCCTACTGTCGACATATTATCTGGGGGTTAATCGAAATAAAAAAAAAATTTTGTATGATGTGCTATTAAAGCAGATGTCCCTTCCTTTCTAATTGTGTATTTGATCTTTGAACTTAAATGCAGATACATATGTATCTCTATTAAATGTCATATTCTTTTTGATCCATTTGTTCTAGCTCAGTCATTTCAAACATTATTTCTATCATTTGTCCCATTATATATATTTTGTTATTTGCAAATTTGGTAGATATGTCATATCTTTCAAGTTATTAATAAAAAATAATGTCAATTACCCAGAGGTTGGAGAGAGAGAGAGAAGTAAAGCAGTCAAGCCCTATCATACTCCAATAGGCAACTCTTGCCAATAACAGGTTCAGATTCTTGGGGAAGGAATTTTCAATTAAAAATATGTTATTATCCAGCCCATATTTTATCTTGTCTTATCAGAGATTTTGGAAAGGATTTTTTAAAAATCAATATAATTTTTGCCTCATTCTTCTGATCCACCAATGTAGTAATTGTATCTAAATACTAAGTATTTGATCTTTTATTTTTTGTGCACCTACCTTAGCTTCCAGTAATTGCCCATTACAAACTACATATCTTATTATTAATTCTAGATTGTCCATGATACTAGATTGATTCCCTGTCTCCATTTTTGGTGATTTTTTTTTCTAGGATGGTTTAATCAGCTTCCAAATGAAATGAGTTAAGATGTGCATTAAATTGATGTACTTACTCATAAATTACTCATAGTAAATCCTCAAAGAGAAATCAGTATATTTTTTCATATCTATTTATACTGGAAATAATTTAATAGTCGTGTCAGCACAGATACTGACATCTCTGGTAATCAAGAATGAGAAGGATGAATAGGGAAACCAGTGTACTTTTCAAAGAACTCCTTCCTTATCCCTGTTGGTATATCAGTCATTTATTTGATGCAAGTACAGTGGAATTTTAGGGGTTCTATGTTGAAGTTTCTTCCAGTGTTTGGAAAAAGATAGGTAATTAAGATAGGTGGGTGAGGGTCAAAACTCAGTTCCTGGAGGATCCAAATGGATAATGGAAAGGAATGAAGGTAGCCAAAGTGGAAGAAACAAGGAAAGGTGGGGTCTGAGGCCCTGTCTAAAAGGCAGCACTGTTCACTGGTGGCCCTTAGTTGTACAGGCCCAGTGTTGCCAGGTTTTATGATTCTACAAAAGATAAGAAATCAAGATTTTTATATGAAATTTAATAATATTTAAAGAATAGCAATTTTAAAAAGTACTATTCAGAACAAAACATGTTTACAGGCTACTAGTTTGTAATCTTAGTATTAAGGCCTGGAATCAAGAAAATGAGAGCAAAAAAAAAGGGAAAAAGGGACAGCTAATAAATGAGAATCTCCTTGTTCACCTCTATCCCACAATTTATTCCTTTCCCACACAAAAGTTCTTGAATAATGGGGTGAGAAAAAAACCTCCTTTCCCTATTACTTGTCAGATATTGGCAGCCTTTGGTAGTTGGTCACTATTGGTTTGCCATGCTAGATATATCTTAATTCTGAAAAAGCAGAGGAAATAATTAATTAATTAATTAAACGTCATTTAAGATATATTTTACTTTGTTCCTACTTAACACTAAGTCTTGTATCTTTGTTTCTAGAAATTAGAACTTCCATGCTTAGTATTTGATTTAGAATTTACTGTAAAAGATTATAAAAGTTTGTTATTTTTATTTAAGCCAAATACTTCTTTAAATGTATGGAAAGAGCTAGGCACAGCTGGGCACACCTGTAATCCAGGCCACTCAGGAGGCTGAGGCAGGAGGATTGCAAGTTTGAGGCTAGCCTCAGCAATTTAGCAAGACCCTGTCTCAGAAATTAAAGAGCTAGAGATGTAGCTCATTGGAAAAACACTCTTGGGTCCAATCCCATTATTAACAAAAATTTTAAAAAAGAAAAAAAAATAGGTAAAGAATTAAATTAATAGACAAATATCAGTAGGTACATTCTGGYCTCAAATTAGTACATTGTTTTAGTACATTTTATTTAAATGTTCATCACTGAGATAGAAATCACTACCAGATACAATACATGTTTGAGGTCACATTCTCCTATCTTCTCGTACTCCACCTCTTCCTCGACCCCCAGTTCCTTGATTTATTCATTTGGAATATTTCCAGTACCTACTCTGGATAGTAACCTGCTATGAAGTGGGGCAAATTTGAAAATGAAGATAGGTTACCTGCCTTTATCTTTCTAAATATTGTATCATTAAGATATTTCTTTTGAATTTTAGTTACATTTTTAGTGACTTTAGTCCATCATATTGAAACTAACTGCTATCGTCTGCTTATAGTTTAGGCAATTTCAGTGAGTAAATTTCTGAAAACTTATTTTTTTTCTTCTTTTACCAGAAAAAAGAAAAAGAAAAGTCTTTGTTCTTGAGCTTTTTTACTGACACTACATATTTTAATAGAAAGTACTAATAAAAATGTTTTTCTTTCTGATTTAATTGATTGTGTATTCAACATATTAGAGTAGTGTTAAATCACACATGGATCAATCTCACATAACTTTGTTCTTTGGTAATTATGGTCTCACCCTTAAAATCTGTATAGGTTTATGTTTTTCTTTGGAATAATTTATGAATAACTAGAATTGTTTTGAATTTAAATACATTTGGAGGATGATTAACGTGGTCAGATGATTTTAATCTTCGGGAATATTACTGGGGAAAAACATCTTTTGAATTTTAATTTTTAAATACTTTTAAAATATGAAAGTATTAAACTGGTTGTGTAGGAATGAGCTTGATTGTTGGTTTGAACTACCCAGGATATCTATTTATTAAGTATTTATTATTCTGACTTGAGAACACTTCTATTTTGCATGAGAATGTTACTGTATTGTAGTGTGCTATGAATTTTCCTTAGGCATTCATTTTCTTGTTTGTCTGTGGTACTTAGTCGCTTAGTTTTTTTTTTTTTTTTTAACACTTTCAGTCTTTTTTCTAGCTAGGTTTTTATGTATAATTCTCCCACTTCTCCTAAACTATAATCAAGTTTTTTATTTTATAATTTATTATTTTGATGTGATTTCCTTTGAAGCATATTTTGATTTTTAGGATATTTTTTCATTCCATTTTATTATTTGCATTAGCCATA